TGGGATGCAGGCAAGCAGCAGAAGGAAAGAAACAGCTCTTCCTTGACATCTGCTGTTGGCAAACTGGTGTCTACATGTATTGAGAGACAGCGTTGCATAATGGTTGGAGTGCCGAACTAGGATTCAAACCCTGGCCTCCCAGGACCTAGTTCGGCACTTATGGGACACAGGTGGCGCTATGGTCTAAACCACTGAGCCTCTTGGGCTTGCCAATCAGAAGGTCGGCAGTTCGATTCCCCACAATGGAGTGAGGTAAAGGTAAAGGACACCTGGACGATCAAGTCTAGTCAAAGGCGGCTATGGGGTTGTGGTACTCATCTTGCTTTCAAGCCAAGGGAGCCGGCGTTTGTCCACAGACAGCTTTCCGGGTCATGTGGTCAGCTAAACCGCTTCTGGTGCAATGGAACACAGTGACAGAAACCAGAGAGCATGGAAATGCTGTTTACCTTCCCGCTGCAGCGGTACCTATTTATCTACTTGCACTGGTGTGCTTTCGAACTGCTAGGTTGGCAGGAGCTGAAACAGAGCAAGGAGAGCTCACTCCATTGTGGGGAATCGAACTGCCGACCTTCTGATTGGCAAGCCAAGAGGCTCAGTGGTTTAGACCACAGCGCCACCTGTGTCCCATAAGTGCCGAACTAGGTCCTGGGAGGCCAGGGTTTGAATCCTCATTCAGCCATGAAGACTGCAGAAACTTTAAGTCAGCCTTTCTCAACCTGTGGGTCCCCAGATGTTGTTGAACTACAACTCCCATCACTCCTAGCTAGCAAGGCCAGAGTTCAGGGATGATGGGAGTTGTAGTCCAACAACATCTGGGGACCCACAGGTTGAGAATCGCTGCTTTAAGTGAAGAGGGACCTCTTCAGGAAGGCGGAGCTTCTAACAAGCCTTACTCTAAGGCTGGCTGCTGCTGAAGCAACATTGGAGCTCTGATGGGATCCAGCCTGAACCCTGTGCAAATGCCTTGCCTCCAATGAGCTCAGTGCTTGTGTCATAGCATTTTTTTGGCCCTCTAGATGTTGCTGGGCTGCAACTCTTGTGGAACCATAGAGTTGGAAGGGTGCCCAAGGGTCATCTAGTCCAACCCCCCTGTAGTGCAAGAACTTCAACTAGATCATACATGACAGATCGCCATCCAACCACTGCTTGAAAACCTCCAAGGAAGGAGAGACCACCACTTCCCAAGTGAGACAGTTCCACTGTCAAACTGTCTTACTGCAAGAAGTTCTACCTGAGGTTTAGTTGGAATCTCCCTACTTGTCACTTGAAGCCATGGGTTCGAGTCTTACCCTCCAGATCAGGAGAAAACAAGCTTCTTCACTCTTCCATGGGATGGCCCTTGAGATATTTGATGATGGCTATCCATTTGGTCTTCTCTTTTCCAGGCTAAACATACCCAGCTCCTTCAACCATTCCTCATCAGGCTTGGTTTCCAGACCCTTGGTCATCTGTGCACATTCCAGCTTTTTGATACATTCCTTAAATTGCAGCATCATCACTTGGGAAATTGTAGGGCGTTTTAACTTGTAATTTCATGAGATGAAATTTCAGGTGGCATCCTGGCATATGGTTCTTGGTGTTTCTAAGTTCTTTGCTTGCTTCTGGAGCACAGAGAAAATGAACATGCTTAGTTGGATCGCTATGCCACAAACTGATTTTTGTTTTCCAGGAAAAAAAGAATCAACTCAGAATTTTCTGGGAAACTCCAGATCAGGAGAAAACAAGCTTGTTCCCTCTTCCATGTGATAGCTCTTGAGATATTTGAAGAAGACTATCATATCTCCTATCAGTCTCTTCTTTTCCAGGCTAAACGTACCCAGCTCCTTCAACCGTTCCTCTTAAGGCTTGGTTTCCAGACCCTTTGTTGCCCCTTAACCAGCTTCAAGTACAGTGGTACCTCGGGTTAAGAACTTAATTCGTTCTGGAGGTCTGTTCTTAACCTGAAGCACCACTTTAGCTAATGGGGCCTCTTGCTGCCACAGTGCCGCCAGAGCACGATTTCTGTTCTCATCCAGAAGCAAAGTTCTTAACCTGAGGTAATATTTCTGGGTTAGTGGAGTCTGTAACCTGAAGCATCTGTAACCTGAAGCGTATGTAACCTGAGATACCACTGTAATTTTTAGCCCTTGGAACAGAGTGTTTGATAGAATGGGACAGAGAGAGGGGAAAGAGAAACAGTATATGCTAAGTCAGCAAACTTTTTCAGCCGTGGGCCAGTCCACCGTCCCTCAGAACATGTGGTGGGCTGGAATATATTTTGGGGGAAAAAATGAATGAATTCCTATGCTCCAGAAATAGCCCAGAGATGCATTTTAAATAAAAGGACACATTCTACTCATGTAAAAACATGCTGATTCCCAGACCATCTACGGGCCGGATTGAGAAGGTGATTGGGCCGCATCCAGCCCACGGGCCTTAGGTTGCCTACCCCTGTGCTAGACTGACCCCAGACTACAGAAGCATTGCAGGAAACGTATTTGCAATGGGCTTTGCTCCATGGCTAAAACGGAATGAAAAGGGACATCTCTCTTGTTCCCGAGCAACTAACCGGGACTCTGCTAAGAAGGCTGACCAGGGAGGTCTCTGGATAATAAATCACCTACTGACGTCTGGAGTGCATTGAACTTCCTTGCTCGAATCTCTGCCTTAGGTCCCTTTCACTAGAATGGCCTTCTTGTGCACCTGTGCCGCCTTTTGTGACGGGCGATTGCTGGGTTTCTAAAGTGTGAATTGTTTTATTTATTTACGGGGGCTTTTGCAGAACCGGCGGCCTGCGTTTGGAACCAGATCTGACGCAGTGAAATAAAAGACGCCGAACGGCAGATGCAAAGCTGAATGCCAAGTGTGTGTGTAGGGAAAACACAACAGAATTCCCTTTCTTTCTTTCTTTCTTTCTTTCTTTCTTTCTTTCTTTCTTTCTTTCTTTCTTGCAAGTAGGCATTTCATTTTGGCAGCACTCTCTGAACTGTTGGGAGAATAGGGGCTCCTTCTTGCCTCTCTTTCTCTCCCCTCGGAGTAGAAAATGAGAAGGTTCTTCTTTTCTGCATATTCTTTTAGGGTCGTTATTCGGTTTTGTTTCGTTTTACAAAGGTGCTGAGCGCCAGACCGTGTAGAGCCCGCCAGGACTCTATATGCTATGCACCAAACTCGCTGCAAAACCCTCTGCTAAGAAGAACCTCGGCATATCAAGAACCTTGGCATATACTCACCCTTTTTTATGTAGTGCATCCTCCATTTCCAAGTCGCGGCAGAAAGAATGAGGCTACATGTTCAGTGTACCTGTCCCTTAGCACTGCAGTGCTTAGTGAGTGTGCGCTCTGGGATCGCCAAAGTATTTTCAGAATTGCTGCCCTTAAGGACTAGAAACTTGGGTTTCTATTTTCTTCTTGTTGTTCCCTGGCATTGTGGATTGTAGAATCATAGAACTGTAGAGTTGGAAGGGACCCAGGGGGAGAGAAAACTGTCTGTGGGAACGCTGTTCCTTCAGTGGCAACCTACGTTATCCACACGATCTCATCCCAAACTTGGTTCTGAGTTTTCTGTAACCTAGGAGGGATGTCTTTCAGACCAGAGGCCACATTCCGGTCCCCGCAGGTTTCCGAGCGCCACATGCCAATGGCGGATGGGGTAGGGATAAAGGAATGACTGTCATTTTTACTTTTTGCGAGCTTCTGTACAGGCTCACACAGCCCTCTCTGCCCTCTAAGCTGGCAAACAAGAGCTCAAGGGCAGGCGGAATCGTTTGAGGTGAGGGCTGTGGTATGTAGAGAAAGAGAGTGTGGCCTCCGGAGGGTCCTGAAAGCCACATAACAAGACTTCGAGGGACACATGTCCTACATCCTGGGCCTGAGGTTTTCCACACCTGCCGTAAAACGGCTCGCCTCCCTTTCTCAGGTACACCTGGGCTGTTCTTGCCGTCTTTGGGGACCCCTCTTCCGACCCAAGCTTCCAGCCGATCCTTTTCTCATATCGATGCGCTGCCAGCGATGCTTTGGCCGCGACCCATCGGACCACCTGTTGATCATTTCCAGGGCAGAGAGAGGGGGTTGGGATGTGGGAACTATGCAAGATGCTTGCACGGAAAGCCAGGAGGAGATGATTTCCACCCAAATTAACCGGAAAGGCTCCTGAATGAGCAGGCCAGCGTCATGCTAGCTACTCCCGGTCGCTGTGGCAAGTGACAACGGGTTTGTAGCATTCATCTGGTGAAAGCAATTAAAGCAGCAGTTCTCAACCTGTTGAGTCCCCAGATGTTGTTGGACTACAACTCCCATCATCCCTAGCTAGCAAGGCCAGAGCTCAGGGCTGATGGGAGTTGTAGTCCAACAACATCCAGGGGACCCACAGGTTGAGAACCGCTGAATTGAAGTTTGTTCCTGCTCTGTGGTTGCTGCAAACACTTAACCTGTTCTTCGAGCATCTGAGCTCCCCTTCACCCCTTGCCCTCAAAATTTATATCGGGCGGGGAGTCTTTTGCCCTCTGGATGCTTCGAACTACAACTCCCATCAGACGCAGCCTGCATGGATGATGGGAGTTGTAGTCCAGCACAATCCAGAAGACCACATGTCGCTCTGATCTGCATGTTTTTATACCGATGTGGCCCAGAACTTAGCTATGCCTTCTCCTGAGATTATCCCGCAAAATAAGACCTAGATCAGGAAACAAATAACCTTTTTTAAGCTGTTTGTCCCTGTCTCTTCCGGTGAAGGGACTGAGGACCACAGGGCCAGAGGCGAAAGGAGGCAGAGTCACGAATGCGAATCTCACCGTTTCTGCAATAGGGTGGTTTCATCACACACACACAGCCCTCTATCGTCCATCTAGGCCAGTGGTTCTCAACATGTGGGTCCCCAGATTTTGTTGGACTACAACTCCCATCATGCCTGAGCTCTGGCCTTGCTAGCTAGGGCTGATGGGAGTTGTAGTTCAACAACATCTGGGGACCCACAGGTTGAGAAAGGCTGTTCTGGGCATTTAAGAAGCATCATCAGGGTTCAAGTGCTGGATAGCTCAGTCGGTAGAGCATGAGACTCTTCCTCAGGGTTGTGAGTTCGAGTCTCACGTTGGGCTAAAGATTCCTGCCTTGCAGGGGGTTGGACTGGATGACCCTCATGGTCCCTTTTAACTCTTTGAGTCTATGACACATTTCTGGACCGGGAGAACACTCATGGAGGATGCGATTCTGTGCTGGTGGTGGTGGGTTTTGGCTCGGGAAGGTGTGTGGTCTGGGGAGAGTCTCAAGGGCCAGATTTGGCCCTTGGGCTTCAGTTTCCGACCCCTCCCATAGTAAACAAGGATTCTCCCTGTGGTCAGTCAGCAATTCCAACAAGTGGATTTGTTCGCACCCCGGTGCCGGCATAGGCAGAGGAGTCGCCACGAGGACCCAGCCAGCTGCAGTCCCTGCCCCTTTTAAAATGGCATGAACACACTTGTAGTATGACTCTAGCAAAATAACGAAGGAGGGGCCAGAAACACGATATAGCTCGTGAGTTTATGTATCGGACAGACAAGTAATTTGGAAGGTGCATGTGTGTGCTTTCGAGTCAGTTGAAAACGAACTTCTAAAGAGTTGCACAGCCATTTTACTAGGCAGTTGCCGCTTCTAAGTCTTGGGCATAGCTTATTATAGCTGCCTTGCTGTTCCTTGTTGCAGCTGTAATAGTTCCATCCACATTTCAGTGACCTCTTCAACTATCTCCTGGTTCTATGTTCGCTTTTCCTGCCTTCCAAATAATCACCGCTATATGTATAATAATCCGTGCTGTGTGTATGATCCCATGACTCTTCAGGAAGCGACGTGGTATTTGGTGGAAAACTAAGAATGTGAGAATTTTCTTTGAAAATGTAGGTTTCTAGTCCCTTTGGTAGACAAAAAATAAAATAAAATGTGTGTGTGTGTGATACAGATTGAGAAGAGAGGTCGTGAAGAGATCGTGCGTTACCACAGTGATAGGGAACAGCTTTTGAGTTTCAATTTCTTATCTCTAAAATAGAGATGGATAAGGAACAATCTTACTCGGCTATGAGTGATCGCCAAAGAAGAAGAAGAAGAAAAAGGTACTGATACAACACCAAGGTTGCAGGTTCGAGCCCCATATGGGACTGCATATTCCTGAATTTTGGGGGCTTGGACTCTGTGATCCTCAGGTTCCAATGTACAATTCTATGATTCTGTGGCTCTAAGACAGCTACTTATATTCCAGGCATGTTCAACAGATAGATCGTGATCCACTGGTAGATCGTGGGGTGTTCCTGGTAGATCTCTTGCCGCTCAGTGATCTCCCCCACCCCCCCAAAAAAGGTGACAACAACTCCTCCTTCCTAAAAGAAGCTCAACAACTTTGGTCCATGCAACGACACTGGGTAGATCACTGCTAGTTTTTTTTATACTGTGTGTAGATCGCAGTCTATTGGGAGTTGGACATCCCTGTTATATTCTATCTCTCAAAAGATTATTGATTTAATAAGTTGGCCACACACTTAGAATCATAGAATCATAGAGTTGGAAGAGACCACAAGGGCCATCGAGTCCAACCCCCTGCCAAGCAGGAAACACCATCAGAGCACTCCTGACATATGGTTGTCAAGCCTCTGCTTAAAGACCTCCAAAGAAGGAGACTCCACCACACTCCTTGGCAGCAAATTCCACTGTCGAACGGCTCTTACTGTCAGGAAGTTCTTCCTAATGTTTAGGTGGAATCTTCTTTCTTGTAGTTTGGATCCATTGCTCCGTGTCCGCTTCTCTGGAGCAGCAGAAAACAACCTTTCTCCCTCCTCTATGTGACATCCTTTTATATATTTGAACATGGCTATCATATCACCCCTTAACCTCCTCTTCTCCAGGCTAAACATGCCCAGCTCCCTTAGCCGTTCCTCATAAGGCATCGTTTCCAGGCCTTTGACCATTTTGGTTGCCCTCCTCTGGACACGTTCCAGTTTGTCAGTGTCCTTCTTGAACTGTGGTGCCCAGAACTGGACACAGTACTCCAGGTGAGGTCTGACTCCACTTAACTCCTGTGTCTTATCTTCTCACAAAAAACAGGATTCTAATAGTTGTTGCTTTGTTTTGTTGCACTGATGCATTGAAGGTGTGCAGTTTGCTTGATCTGAGATCTGGCCTGGAGGGAGAATAAGCCTTGCGCTGTTAATAACCTTGCGTAATAATTGCCGGCTCCTTTTGTAATCGTCGGCTAGGGGTGGGGTGGGCAGGTTCAGTGCCAGCTGAAGAAGGAGGCAGCCGGCCCAGCTTGCTTGGAAGAGACCCACGGGCGAGGATTCTTGCTCAAAGAGGCTGGCAAAGAAAGCGATCGGATATCAAAGAGGAAGGGATACAATGCCCCTCTCTGCACGAGGCAAGGGCAGCTAGAAGGAACCGTGAGGTGGAAGAAAACACATTGAGGTGCAGCTGCTCCAAGTGGCCAGTGGTTTTCTTTTCCAGCCGAGCGAGCCAGCCATGAGATTGTGCAATGCGAATGTTCCTATTTACACGTATTTCTCTCCCTGTGCTTGGGGAAAAGCCATAATGACAACTTGAAAGTTTGGGGATTTTATGCTATACTTCTGAAACAGGTGGAAACATGGGATGGCGTACTACGAGAAATCACCTGTGTTGGAGAAGGAGCCAGCTGCAATCTTTGGCATTTCCAGGTGTCAGGCTGTGGAAGACACGTCTGAAAATCCCAGACAGCTGCTGTCAGCTGATGCCAGAAAGCCCCTCTCAACCTCCGGATCCTAGATTCTGCTGGACTAAAACTCCCATCATTCCTAGCCAGCAGGTCGGTGGTTAGAGATTATGGGAGTTGTGGTTCAAGGGCATCCGGGGACTGAAGGTTGAGGAAGTTTGGTGTAGACCATTGGTCTTCAAATGATGTGTCATGATGCACTGCTACAAAACACAGGGAAATAATAATAATAATAATAATAAAAAATAATAATTTATACCCAGCCCATCTGGCTGAGTTCCCCCAGCCACTCTGGGCAGCTCCCAACAGAATTAAAAGCACAATAAAACATCACACACTAAAAACATAGCCTTCAGATGTCTTCTAAAAGTCAGATGGTTCTTTATTTCCTTGACATCTGATGGGAGGGCGTTCCACAGGGTGGGAGCCACCACTGAGAAGGCCCTCTGCCTGGTTCCCTGTAGCCTCACTTCTCACAGTGAGGGAACCACCAGAAGGCCCTTGGAGCTGGACCTTAGTGTCTGGGCTGTGAACAATGGGGGTGGAGACGCTCCTTCATGTATACTGGGCCAAGGCTGTTTAGGGCTTTAAAGATCAGCACCAACATTTTGCATTGTGCTCGGAAATGTACTGGGAGCCAATGTAAGTCTTTCAGGACCAGTGTTCTGTGGTCTTGGTGACTCTCCAGATGTTTGCCAAACTACAACTCCCATTGGTCATGCTTACTAGGGCTGATTGGATTTGTTGTCCCACAACATCTGGAGGTCCAAAGGTTCTCCACATCTTAGCTACTGAGCTATAGCCTGATCTTAGGTAGGTTAGGACACCAAGACTGCTACCAAAGAAGTAGATGTGGGGGAATTAAAGGAAATAAAGGATCTCCACATGTGTTTGGGTTGAAGGTGAGTTGTGGGTCTGTAAAAGTTTGTTTCGTTTTATTTTGAAAATAAAGCGAAGAAAGAAAAAAAAAGTGGCCAGGTAGGTTGTTCATTGCCAGGTCAATGTGCCTAGGATTTTAGTCTCAAAGATGCATGCATCGTATTGTACCTAAATTTCACCAGTGAGGTTGGGTGGGAATTTTCCCCAATTTATAAATTCATTAATAAGCAAGAATGGACGTCAGTTGCAAAGAAAATGCTAATCAAATATGGCAGTTTTGAAGTGTTTCACTTTGTTCACTAAACGCGAGTAAAATAAACATGCATCAGAAAAATCTCCGATTCAAACTGGATTTTTTTCTCATGCAAATTGCCCCACTTTGCAGAACCTGATTTGGTACATTTGATGAAAAGCTCCTCTTTGAGTGTTAGCAAGTTTGAACCATTCAGCCAAGGACACGATGGCAGCTGGGCTTCCAAATTAGTAATATCACTGCATTTTTTTTATTATTCCAGATGCTCCACCAGCAAACCTGAAAGTAGCGTTCAAAGTTGGGCTGAAATTGAAATCTCCGGGAGAAGTTAGTTAAAAAAAAAAAGTGAAGAGGATAAAATAACCGAGGCTAAAACCCCGTTTGAAGCTGCCACTAAGGCATTTGTGTTAGGTGAGGCCACCTAGTTGCATTGTATTTTTGTGTAACTAAATCACTCCTTCTACTGGTTTCCCAAACAAACTGGTAATAAGGTAAGGCAGGACTTCTGATACTTTATTTTTTCCTCTGAAAGGCTAAACTTGCCTCTTGACTTGCATTCAAGTTTTTGGTCTCCAAAGAAAATAGAAGCCGGACTCTTGAAACTGAAAATCAGAGATTTCCAGTGCATAGGATGGGAAGACTTTACTGCACCTTCCATTTTTAGAGTTGGAAGGGACCCTGAGGGTCATCTAGTCCAACCCCCTGCAATGCAGGAATTGGCAGCTGCCCCATACAGGGATCGAACCTGCAACCTTTGCATTATCAGCACCACGCTCTAACCAGCTGAGCTATCCAGGCTGCTAGATGCTCTCACAAGAAGAGTTCCAATTCGGCATGGCATATTCTCTCCCCTCACTGCGTTTCCCACCAATTTAAGTAAAACTGATGTAGCAGGAATGCTTGAATAATGGTTCTCTTCAACATCAGTTAAGGCATCTCTGAAGGGACGCAGATTGCGCTGTGGGTTAAACCACAGAGCCTAGGGCTTCCTGATTAGAAGGTCTGTGGTTCGAATCCCTGCATTGGGGTGAGTTCCTGTTGCTTGGTCCCAGCTCCTGCCAACCTAGCAGTTTGAAAGCACGCCAAAAAGTGCAAGTAGATAAATAGGTACCGCTCCGGTGGGAAGGTAAACGGCGTTTCCATGAGCTGCTCTGGTTCGCCAGAAGCGGCTTAGTCATGCTGGCCACATGACTCGGAAGCTGTACGCCGGCTCCCTCGGCCAGTAAAGCGAGATGAGCGCCACAACCCCAGAGTCGTC